ACGGGGAAGAAACTGCTCAACCACAGGTGGTCGGATAGTACGCTCCTAAAACCTGACCCGCAACATTTTATAAACATCAAAAACAGAGATGCCAGCTGTACGTGGAAGGAGCTCGCCAACACCCCTAAAGCCCAGACCTCGGCGTAAGAGGGTTTGCTTTTGAAGTACTGATGTTGTTCGGGGTGTCTGTGTAACAATGTCGTCGTCATCCCCTCCACCCCCCCTAATCCGAAGCCAAGTTTATCAAAGTCGCGGAGTGGATTTGGCGACAACAAGAAGTGGTACGACACGACGAGCGTACCGTAAATACCGAGTAAAACGGATGTGCTGTTGAGAGGGTGTAAAGCAGAGGTGGTTGGTAGGGGGGGCGCCTACTACAACTACTACTACTACCACCACTACCACTACCGCTGCTGCTACTGCTACTGCCGCTGCTACTGCTGCTGCTGCTGGTACTGCTACAGCTACTGCGACTGCGACTACTACTGCTACTGCTACCTGCACTCAACACCTTTCCTGCTGCTCTTCTCCTCATCCTGCGGCTGTTGCTGCTCCCTTTTCTTTCTCACTGTTTTCTCCTCCAACACTGTTTGCTGACAGGGTCCGATGCCACATGTCGGCCGAGGGGCCAGACTTGGTCTGCCCACGGGAACGAGTTCGGACTGGCCGAACTCCGCCTGAGTTGGAACAGTCTCAGTCTCCCGAAGGATTTAGCCTGTTGCATGCACATGTGAAGGCTGATTCCGACACATGTTAGTGAACCCGGGCACTTTCCAGCTCGGTCTTGACTTTGGCAAGGCCCTTCTGCCACAGCAGCACTGAGTTCCGGCGAGTGCGGCTTTTGCTCTGTCCTGGCACAATGAAGCTCAGTCAGTCAAGCGTGTCTGTCATGCGAAGCTTCACGTTCCTGCTAAGTTGCTGTTGCATCCGCAGTCGCCTGCAGAGCTACCTGAAGTTATAACCTCCAATCAACCTACCACCACCTCATGCAAACATGCGGAGATCACCTTGCAGAATGCCCTTTCTCGGTGTCTTGGAAGGCGATGAAGCCGAGGTGCCCGGCACCGGCGCAGCCATCGTGTGGACATTGGCTAAGAAAGACGGATAATTCAATTGAAGCTCACACTGTACTGCCAAATTCAGAAGTTGTACGATAATTACTGTGCTGGAGCTTCCACAACTCAGCTTGCTATTCATGAAATGCTCTACTTTAACTTTCTCATCGGAGCTTCACGAGCTGTGCCCTCTCCTTTGCTCTTGCCGCCCCGCCCCCGCCCGACGCACCAACGAAATGCAGTCCCGCTTCTTGCCTGGCTATGCAGACACAAGCTTCCAAAGACAATGCCGGCATGCTTCCCTGCAGCAACCGACGCTCCCTTCGGGGCGATGCTGTTTGCGCAGTATGCCGGTGGAGCCGGGTTAATGCGCTCGGGTGGCGTCATTGCTCTAGAAGCTGATGATGTTCCGCGGTGAACACTGACTTTGGCTCACGGGAAAGAATCAGAAGCTGCTGGCCGTTTATCTGTATGGCCGCATCACTGCAGCAGCAAGAAGCCGTCCCGTCATGAGCACGTGGGCTCAAAGACTGAACGACTGCTTTAGAGAGGTACTCTGTACAGTACAGGACACGAGGGGTTCATGCGTCTGTAACAGGAGCTGATCACGTTCAGTACGACCCAGCGAAAGACGATGCTTGACCGAACAAGCCTTAGCCTCTTTCAGCCCACCAAACCCAAACCGATGTGATGGTATCTCCTGCGCCTCGCACCTTCTCCGTTTCTTCAGGAATCCTTTGCTGGTCGTGGCACGAATGTGATTGCACTCCAAGAGGGAACGGTTGCACCAAATGCTCCATCGAGCATCGGCAGAGCCAAGCGCTGCGTTGTGCAACCCTGGCTACCCTTCCCACCGTGCAGCTCCCCCTATACAACATGAATTCAGCTGTTGCGCTCTGCACCAGCATGCTGTCCTGCTCGACTACATCAAGCCGCGGGTCGCTGTCATTGAGACTGTCCCGCACTCTATGGACAGCTGATCAAATTCCAAACACTTGAAAATGTCGACGAGGAGATCTCTTCTCTTCACCGAGCCCGTCATGCCAAAACGTCATTGATGATTTTGGCTGACTGTCCTTATGGCAATATGATTGGCTCCTTTTCGGTGAAGAGCGGTAACGACAAGCCATGTGGAGAGTAGGCTTGGCCTCGGCCGATGGAATCGCAAACGTGGGTGTGGGACTTCGGATTGCATGAGCCTTCCTCTGTACAACGAGTAAGGAAAGCACCCTGTTGTTTCCGACACCCTGGGGCCTGCACCTAGAATCCCAAGTCCTAAGCCCCAAATCGTACACGCGGAACCCAGAACCCTCAAGCCTCGAGAACCCAGAAGGCCACGAAACGAAAAATCCCCGAACGCATGAGCCCTAAACACCATCTAAACATCACTACACCCGAAGTCTTAAACCTCATCAGACTTTTATTTTGACCAAGGCTCAAGTGAAGTTCGCGAGCTCAAGGCTCGCCGCGATCGGACGCCGCCAAACCTCACAGCGGCCCATGCCTCGAGTTTTGCGCCCGAATAGGCCGGGGGATTTTGAGTTCCTTGGGACCATGTGGGTAGTTCTCTAAATTCGGGTCCCTTTTGGGTCCCCCAATATAGTGCGGCACCCTTATAAGAAGGACACTAAAAGGGACCCTATTTTAGAGAACTACCCATGTACTGGTACTGGCAAAGGTCTTGCCCTCGCCCCCTTACCCCTCTGCCAGGCCCCTCTGATGTAGGACTGGCTCTTTGTGTTAGATGTAGGAGGACCCGTGATTCTCACAGTTTTGCCGCGGGTTCGCCCAGGAGTTTGCGCGGCCCTGCCTCTCTTGTGCAGGGAACCCCCCCGACCTTGTGGCCCCTCCCTGAAAGGCAACAAAAAGGAAACAGCGTATATTATAGCATATTGGAGTGTACGAGCATGATAGTATATTATAGTACATCATGGTATCTTATATAGCGCATTTTGGTATATGCTAGAACTTGCAGCATGGCCCACCCAAATCTTGCTGTAACAGCTGCGGACTAGCATGGCCGATCTCAGGGTCGGCTCCCAGGCGGCTCAAGGTAAATTGATACTTACTGTCCTTGCCCAAAGAAGGCTCGTTAACTCCTGACAACTTTTTGTGTATGCGGTGACGCTCGATTGCCCCGGTGTGCATTCATCCCAAAAGGCCTGCTGTGCCTCAGACCTGGTTCCAACAATACGTTTTCATAACTTCGTCGGGCGCCCTTGTTGACAGTTGCAAGAAAGGGTTCATCACAGCGTGCACGGCAAGAAGTCCGGAGGCAGCAAGTACGGCAAAGCTGTGCGAATGCTCAGGGACCGGCTGAATTCAATCCCATTGCACGACGGTGCAGCAGCGCAAGCTGCCTGACATTCCTGGAGATCGTTGTGAACTTTCCGTTCGGAGCAGGCAGTTTGGCCTTGTCTGTCCTGGATAGTCTGCGATGGAACCACCACGTAGTAATCATCGGAGTTATCCCATGATTCATCTCCACGGCAAGCTCTTCCGACTCCACCATCAACCTGACGTAACCATGAACCATGACCTCTGCCGCGGCCTCGATCCCCTGCATTCAAAATGCTGCGCAGAAGAGTTGCTCAATTCGAACAAGAAGCTGGGACAAGATTTCTTGTTGGCCAACCAAAGCGCATGCAAGTAAAGCCACTGATGTTGAGCTCGGCCCACGCAAAAATCCCTTCGGGACGTGTCCAGATTTCGCATCGTCCGTGGCTGAATTCTATGCCTGACGCAGTGCAGGGATGTCAAAATCTGCAGTTATCTCTGCTGACTACTGAATCCTGCGAACACGGAGCCGCGTCTAGGCACAATCCAACCCATTGCCAATACCCTAATTCCCGTCCCGAACACTGCCTTTGCAACTCGGAAACTGATCAATGCACAGCCTCTTGCATGCCTCGGCGAAAGCAGCCGAATAGTTGATCAAACCAACACCAGCGTTTGGTGGGTTTTGGCATTTAAGAAATCTGGCCATGTAGCTTTTGGCCCATGCAAGATTCAACCCACGAAAAGCAAAATACCATACAATACAATACAATACAAAAGACAAGGGAGACGTCCAACACAAGCGAAGGAATCATACGAAACTTCCAACATCATCTAGCATCAATGGAGTTGAGAGCTGCGCTGAACAACACTAGCCGGGAGGTCTGTGAAGCGAAGGAAGCAGCTCTGCGATGTATCCAAAAGCAATCGACAGGGACTTCGCATCAGGAAGTGAATCCCCACAGACCCCCATACAGGCTGCCTCGCATCCCAGCTGCATGCATGCTCCGAATGCATCCCACATGCGACTCGCATCGCAGATATGTCCCCTCTGCACACTAAATACTACCCCGATCAAACCAGCACGAGACCACACCCACGAACCATCGCAGAGCGATGGTCTCACAGGCTGTCCCTAGCTGACATCATCATTCCGGCCAAGGCTCTTCCAGGTCCGTGAGGCCCGCATGCACGGTGTAGTAGCTCGGGTCATTGTCAGTTCGGTTCCTGTGGAGCCCATGTATGACATGGCCCTGCACCTGCTTCAAACCCTTTGGTAAAGTGCCTCCCTCGGCAAGCAGCATTGCCCGGACTGCCAATGTACTCCCAGCCGGCATCGGAGGGCAGAGATCGAGCACATCTGCCAGAAAACAACGACGCCAAGTGCTGAGGTGAGTAACCGGCCCAGCAGCTTGCCTGCAGCATTTGAAGCGTTCCAGCACCTCTTCTTCCCAGTCACCATCGCAGTGTCCGTTCCAGCGCTGGGTAGCGAAGTGGCTTCCCAGGTCCTGAGAGCTCCGAGGCACTGGGCCGAGAGGGCCCCAAAACCTCCGACGAATCCCCGGCGGCCTCGCAGGTCTGCTCTGCTTCGCAGGCCAGGCCTCTCCGAGAGCGAGTTAGTTAGGGTTTGGGTCAGATTTGAGGGTTTATTGGGGTCTGCGAGTTCTACAGATAGCTCGTGATTCTTCACTACGAGCTCTTCTTGGCATGGTCTGATCCTTACCTCACTGCAACTATGCTTGCATCTTCTTCTATCTTCTTCTATTTACTTCTTGGATGCAAGCCTGACACTCGGCTGCATACTAGTAACAGCTTCCATGAAACGATGAAAGGATACGATCGGTTCCATGCATTTCAAGTCCCATTCGGCCTTGGCACTGAAGGCTGTAGTCAACGGGACATTCTAACGGGTACTCGCAAATCTCGTAGCCATCTGTAATGCCTCCAGCACACTCCGAGAACTGCCCCATCGCTTGCGGTTGCGACAGAAAGGCCGAGATGCAAAACTCTCCACCCCGCATCGGAAGTACGAAATCGCTGTTGGAAGCTGGGGCAGCTGTTGGAGTTGCACCTCCAAAGAAGTCTTGACAGGAGGACATCATCGGAACCATCCAGCAGCCCGCTGCGCCTTGCTGCGATGTTGTCGCCACCGCAGCGTCCACTAACGTGGTGCTTATTATTGCTGGGAGAGTGACGGATGGCACCTGCCACATTGCTTTGCTGCAACGCTTAGCTTTGATGAATCATTGATGAATCGCCCTAGCCGCCCTAGTTCGGGAATTCGTCCGAACACCTGTACCTAGCCTGCACTCTGCGCTCTGAGCCCTGGTCGCGACGACTCTATGAGACACAGCCAAATGCGCGGGAGGCATCTCGCGCCTGGCTTGTAGAGCCTTGCAGGGGAGCTTGCGGGCTCGAGGACACAAGGATCCGCAATTGCACCTCCACTGGTCTCCACGCAGGTCTTGCAGAGGGTCTGGTCTTGTGCGTAGAGATCTCGGTGCTCGGGCAAGATGGAAGTGACTGAAACAAGTATGCTCGAAACCATCCGTCGAACTATCTAAGCTCCCTTCCAACGCACTGCTGCGACATGTGTATGACCTCGCCTCAGCTGTCGTCCAGCAAGGATTTGTAGCTCATCTTAAGCATCTCCACCCTTGCTATGATCGTAGATGCAGTCCTGCTGCTGGGAAGGTAGCTGGAGCCCAATCGATCACAGGCAGTCGCCCCGCACAAGGAGATCGATGAGGAAAGTTCGAAACCATCTGGGCAGGACAGCTCGTCCTTGCAACCTGCAGCAAACCCTGCAGAGAAGACTCTCTTCATGTCAATGGCACCAGGGAGATTGCAACAGCCTGGAGACTGAGCAGGAAGCATGCGGCAGACAACGAGGTGGGGCAGTCATCGCTCGTTCGCTGGCAGGAAAGGCCCTGCAGAAAACACAGGGGAATAACATTGATTGATTAGACATAGTGAGAGCTAAGAACAAGAGCAGTCATGGTGTTAAATAGTGTTCACAACATGTGGGAAAAGTACTTTGCCATCACTGGCCAACTTGGCACCCGACGGACGAGGCTGGAGAATGCGTAGCCGGAACGGGCTGCAAAGCCACACACTGGCAGCACTCGTACCTTTGAGCATGCTGTAAAACACAATGGGTTTGCTCCTTGCGGGTGGATGTCTCCGCGCCTGCGTGCAACATCATTTGGCCCGTCATTGCAGCGGCCATCCCATTCCGCAGGTCTAAAGTTGACACCTCTGTCAATCGTGCATGAGACACCTCACCTCAAGAAGCGTCCTCAAACCGCGAAGCAAGATCAAGCATCACGCTAACAGTCTTACAGAATCGACGCAATGTATCCCACCAAAATCACATTCAGCACATCCATGTGCACCAGCAAAAGCCCCGGCACCTAAATCTCCACACGTTCGCTCTGAGGCTTTGCAGCCAATCTCCTGACATTCCTCGGTTTGGCACGACTCGCGCATCTGAATAATCATGGGAGGAAGCTGCTACAAAACATGGGGCTGACAGATGCTTCGTTCCGCCAGATGCTCCAGTTCAAACGATCTCGGGCAGCTCAGCCCATAGTGGCAGATGGCACCATCCATGCCTCGTCTTGCATGACATGCAAAATAAGTTTGAAGAACAAGCCTGCGCACAACTGAGCACATAGCATTTTTCGGAGAGGGTGACCTCGGACACGAATCAGGTTTGTCGGGCTACAGCCACTGAGCACCGCCAATACTATAACCACACTACCCGCATTCATATACGAACAAGCTCACTGACCAGCAGCCTAAGGATCAGAGCGGCACCGGAAACTTTAGACCACTCTTGCATGGGGTCGAACGGCGCGTCAGACTTCGAACAAACGAAAGAAGAACATAGAGCCCATCCCCGGCTCCGCGACCGCCGAACACTTCGAGCGAAGTAATCGGCAGCGAAGACATTCGAACGAACAATCACAGCCTTCGCGGGACCGATCGCCTAAAGTCTCGAACGAGTTTTCACGACCGTCAAGTCCCAAGCATCTTCCGCTTTCTTTCAAAAGGGTGGGCTGCGGGACAAAAAAGATCTTTCAGATCGAGGCGATCGCCGCGACTGAGCATGGCAACGGATAGACCAATAATTTCACGAATACCTGAAAAGGCAACCTGATCGAATGCAGCAGTGTGACCTTCATATCCCGGACATTCCCAGTCCTACCTAACCGAAGATATGAGAACGCCGCTGCTGCGGCCACACTCCTTCTCCTACGTCACAACCACTATTGCCACCAGGCTACCACTACCACCTCTGCGTCCTAATCTTTGTGCAACGCTACTGGTACGTTACTGCAACGTTACTGGTACGTTACTGCTGCTGCTACTGCTACCGCTACCACGACCGCTGCCACTACTACTACTACTACTACTACTACTACTACTACTACTGCTACTACTACTACTACTACTACTACTACTACTACTACTACACCTTCTTCTTCTTCTACTTCTACTCGTACTCCTCCTGCTCCTGCTCCTGCTCCTGCGCCTGCTACAGCTACAGCTACAGCTACAGCTACAGCTACTGCTACTGCTACTGCTACTGCTACTGCTACTGCTACTGCTACTGCTACTACTTCTATTGCTGCCGATGCTGCTACTACTGGTAAGTAGTGGTATCAGCAGTGGTAGTACT